CCCCCCCCCCCCCCCCAGTGCATGATTTTCATGCACCGGGCCTCAATATATAAAATTGCCTTAGAACATCTTTCTCAACCTCTCTGAAATAAGAGTGGAGCATTAGGGTCAGTTTTGCAAGGGTGCTCACTAGCATAATAGGATTTCACATTCATGGAGTCCTCTACAGTTTTGAAAACATTTTCATATAACAATATCAAATAAGATTATTATAATAACACAACAAAGTAAACAGGGCAGACATCATTTCTGTTACAAAGGGGGCTAGAGAAAAGTTCCAATGAATTGCCCAAGAACCCTTGAACGAGTAGTGGACAAGACCACCACCCACACCTTAGTCTTTAAAACCTTAGGCTACTGCTGTATTGCTACCTCCATTTCTAAGTCTTCCTTAAATCCTTCCGTTTACCAAGAGTCAGATTTTCATTAACATTTCTTCTTGTTACTATCTAAGTAGGTCATTAAAATAAGCAAAACTACATTTCCCTCCAAAGGAATGAAATGAGAACTTTTATTTTAAAGCTTTAATAACATTTTAAAATGGAAAAGCCAACATGGCAAAGTGTATATATACACTTAGGTAAATTTTGAATAATTTTCCACATAAATGAAAATGGCCTCACAACATTTTCAAATAATCTATATCCCAACTTAAAAATTAAATACATTTTCTGTTTATATTCAATTAATTAGCTTTATTAATTTTCTGTCAACAGAAAAATATTTTTTTAAAAATATATAGATGAAAAGAACTCTTCATATCCACAAAGCAGCAGAAAATTATAGCTTCATTCTCTTCTGATTTGCCATATTCATTCATTCATTCAACCAGTAGATATTTAGAGACTACTATGTGTCAGTAGCAATATTAGAATGTGAAGATATAATTTTTAATCAGACACAAGCTCTGGTGAAATTAATAGCTAAGTGGTGTAGAGGGATGAAAAAAAACAAAGAAAAAAAACCCAAAAAAACAAAAGATGTTGCTATGGGACAATTCAGTAACAAGCTAAGAATAGAGAATAAATAGGGTGAGGGGCCTATTTTAGATACGGTGGTCAAAGAAGTCTTTGAAGCTGAGACCTAAGGGTGCCAGACATGGAAAGGGTAAGCAAAAGTTGTTTTCATGCAGAAAAGCAAACAAACAAACAAAGCAACAGAAAATTCTAAAGATCCCAAGGATTCTACGAAATTAATGTGATTTAGATAGTGAAAGGAATTCATTGTGCTTTAGCCAGA